AGGGGGGCTGCTATAAATAGAGGGCGATCGCAGGAGGGGGAGAGGATGGCCCACGGGGACTCCCGGGTCAAGGCCTCAAGGGAGGGCGGGGGAGGGGCCGGGGACCCCCAGAGGCTCGGACTCCTGGGTAAACAGGCGCGGGGGCGGAGTTAACCCTGCGGGGGTGGAGTAGGGGAGTGGGGAGGACGCAGTGTCCCGGGCTGGGACCCAAGAGACCCTGTGGCTTCGGCGCTAACCCCTCCCAGTCCGGCCCAGAAAAGGAGGCGAGACCAGCTTAGACAGGCTGACTCGCAATGCCCAGGAGACGGTCTTTGGGACTGCAGCGGCTCTCTCCGTGTCTGGGTGGGTTTGCCACCCTAGACTTCACACACACACACACACACACACACACACACACACACACACACACACACACACCCCAAATGCACCCTCCCTGTGCCCCTCAGAGGGAGGCACCCTAGAATGGGATAGTTGATGCGGCTAAGGGAATTCAAAGTTGTCTTAGGCAAAAGGAAACCAGATTGAATTTCTCCCCACCTGCCCCCCCTCCCCCCGCTGGCTCCCCCAGTCCCAGGATCATCCCCACCCCATCCCCCTTCAGCCTGGTTCCTGAGTTGCCATTTCGGGGGCTGGGCACCAGGCCAGTTGGGAACAATGGCCAATGGAACTTGAGCTGCCAACTGCAACACCAGCCCAGGCTACCCCCCCCAAGACCCCCAAATTGCCCTCCCCCCTCCTGCCTGGGAACCACCCTCCCACCTCCACCCTCATCCCCCACCCCACCCCCCATCCAAGGAACATCAATGCCCCTTTCATCCCCACTTGGCAGGGTCCATTGGAAAGAAGGAGAGGCCAAGAGGGAGGAGGTGACCCAGAGTGGGAGAACTGGTCAGGCTCAAACCCAGCCTTCAGCAACCCCAAATCTAAGGGGTCCCGCTACCTCCCTCAATTTGGAACACCCAAGCTTTCCTCTGTTCCCTTCTCCCACCCCCTTCATAACATTTCCCCCCAGGAACTGGCACAGAAGCTGGGCACCCTGGCTCCTCGCCTAGTCCCCTCTTCCCTCTCAATGCCAGTGTAACACTCTCCCAGACAAGGAAACGCCTGCTGGAATTAGGATCCTAGCTAAAGATGCACAGAATAAGGACATCTCACCAGCCCTAGTGGAACTTGCAGAAAAAGAGACTAGAGTGAGAACTTTTGCCTGCAGGCTCCTCTAATGTGTCTAAAGTAGTCTTACTTGGAGTGGGGGAGGGAAGGACCTGAAGGTTCCAGCATCTAAATTCGTCTCTGGGTCAGGATGACTCAGGGGGAACTTGATAAGGGGCCTACCCAGGGGCCTGGGGCAGGCAGGAGGTGGGAAATTTCCACTGAAATCTGTTGGCTTCTTAGACTTAGGGTGTCCCACCCAGCCTGCTGCAGGCAGAAGTGAGACTGGTTCGGCACTAAGATAGAGTTCTTCCATGTCAGGGCTGCTCCCAGTTCCCTGGTTTAAGTGTCCCAACAAGAACAATCTCAGCCAGGGTTGGTGGCTCAGCTTTGTAATCCCAGCGCTTTGGGAAGCTGAGGTGAGTGGATTGCCTGAGCCGGCAGGTTCGAGACCCACCTGGGCAACTTGGCGAGACCTCGTCTCTACAATAAATTAAAAATTATCCGGGCGTGGTAGTGCACGCCTGTAGTTCCAGCTACTTGGAAGGCTGAGGTGGAAGGATCGTCGGAGCCCAGCAGGTCGAGGCTGCAGTGGCCAGGAGCGGCCACTGCACTCCAGTCTGGGTGACGGAGTGAGACTCCAACTCAAAAAAAAGAACAATCTCCCTAACCTCTTTCTCTTGGGTCAGAAGCAGCTTCAGACTCTCCCTCCAACTAAACAATGGTTTTAAGTACCTGCTATGTGCAAGCTACTGAGTAACCGAATTCAAAAAAGTGTGAAGTCTGCTCACACCCTCTCTAGAGTAGTAGTCGAGAGAAAGTATAAACATTAAAAAAGTTAAGAAAAATTATGGCCTGGCTCAGCCTGTAATCCTGCGCCTTTGGGAGGCTGAGGTGAGTGGATTGCCTGAGTCCGCGGGTTCGAGACCCACCTGGGCAGCGAGACCTCATCTCTACAATAAATAAAAAAATCAGCCGGGCGTGGTAGCGCATGCCTGTAATTCCGGCTACTCGGAAGGCTGAGGCGGAAGGATCGCCAGAACCCAGCAGTTTGAGGCTGCGGTGGCCAGGAGCGGCCACTGCACTCCAGTCTGGGTGACCGAGTGAGACTCCAACTCAAAAAAAAAAGCTAGTTAAGTCAGATGGCTAGCCATATGGCTAGCTAGTTATTTCACCTAGTTAAGACAGCTGGATAGCTAGGTACAGAGCTGGTTAAGTCATCTAGTTAAGTTAGCTTGCTAGCTAGTTAAGTCAACAAGTTAAGACAGCTGGCTAGCCAGC